CTATCTTTCTACTTCAGACAGGGTACTTACTGGGGGATTTATCATTTGTATAGCGCTAATTATTGTTGCTATTGCTATTTCATCAATAGTCTGAATTACGAAATAAACTGACTGAGCAACAAGATAACAATTTCAAACTACAGAAACAATTACTAGACAGAGATTTAGAAAATCAAAGATTGATGACTGAACGGGTAAGTGAAATTAGAATTACGAATATGAAAGGAACGGTAAAAAATCGGAAATCAGCTACTATATTGTGTCTTGTCGTAATAGATAATGAGCATGGTAGCCTTTACTCTCCTGGAAATGCGCAATAAATATTTTATAAAAATTAGTGATTCAACTATGATCAATTACAATATATTAAGGATATCATAATAATAGCAAACCAATTAGCATAGGAAATAGCGTTGATTACCATCATCACTCAATTGTCGCACCATGTTAAAAAATGGCACTGATACATTAATCTTAGATTTGCGTCATCATAGCTAATACAAAGAATCAGTTTGACTTCATTGCCTTGTTTCGTTCAACATCTTTTTCGTAGATTAAAGGTTCATAACACACCGTAGCAATGTACTAGTATAAGAAATACTTGTACTGTATTAATTATGGATGATCATGGTGATTCTATTTTTCTTACAAATGTTTAAAAAGTTTTTGCTAGTAAATTGATTTTGGCCGTTCCTTAGAACATAAGCCCGTATTACTAACCTTAACGAAGAGCTAGTCAAAGCCTTAGTCGTATTTAAAAATGTTGACCAACTTTTGATAGAATAAATATTAGATTCTTATGCCACTTGCTGAATGACATAGGAAATAACACCAATTGCCATTATGGATGTTATCTCTTGCTATATTTAATGATATCTAACTTAAATTAGTCTTAAGTTCATATCATAATAACGAATTAATATGAGAGATAACGTTACATGGCTTCAATGCTTTACCATGCTAAAATGGTATAGCTCTTACATCTATTTAACAGATCCTTATAACATACGTATAGTGCCCCTTACTAATATTGATAAGGCGCCACTTGAATAATCTCAGTCATATTTAAAAGAGAAGATCTAGCCGTCGACAAGCGATTAAACCTCTTTTAATATATACAATTTTTGCTATGTATACCACAGCAAAGTATTTCGTTTTATCAAGATTTAGTCATCCTCTATGAAGTCTATTAACTGCATAGACACAGAAATTTATCCTTCAATGTTATTCCACGGTTATTGATCATTATATGCAGATATGCGCAACTATTGATGAAGGAAAACGACACATTTTATCGCTCCTTTTATTATTTTATAGCATCGATAACTAAAATAGTTTACTAACTCTTATTATTATGGTAGTGGACAACATCTAAGTAACCGCAATTTTTATAATATATCATTTTAGAAATCGCTAGATTCTAAACGAAAAGATAACGGTAATCATAAGCGTCGCAATTCCTTTACAGGCCTGGATGACACGGTATGTATAGCTTTATCTTTATACTTAAACCGTAATGTTTTAAATAGAAATTCATACTTTGATGATTTCAATAACTTCACATATTCAATCTGTTTGATTAGTCCTGATATATCAATCAACTTTTAGTTTAACCTCAGTTTAAGGCGTGTCTTATAGTATCATTATAGTATTAACTTGGCACAGGTCCAAATTTCACTTTTTGTTATACTGATATTAATAATATCGACGTAAATTTTTTAGTAATTTACTACCATCGTTGGTGCTAACAACTCTATTCTCAACTTAGGTTCAGTATATTGCTTCAACTGAACTAGATAGATCAAACTCAAATGTGCGCCTAAAAACTCGACAATTGTATTTGACATTGCAAGAATATGCCGCCTGTGAGGTCAGAAATTAACTCTTTATAACCGCCCAATTTAGCTTCTGGTTTTCATCGAAGAATAGACTTATACTAATTTATTTAACATTACATATAGTATTGATTAGATCGTTCTTGACCTTATAAATTTAAATAGAAGTTGCGCGCTATATTGCTAATTATTACAAATTCGTCTATTAAAATACATCGTATTAGGGCCAAATTGATGTCGGCTCCGTTAGAGCATTAATGGATGATTTTGCTAAAAACCTTGCTATAGGAGATGATCAAGAAAGAATAAAAGCTAGAGCTCAGGTAGCAAGAATAGGATAACTTAATTTTTTTCGTCATTTGTAATAATTTCATAATGCTTTATGTATTATGTTAAACGATTACATGATACGAAATTAAACAAACAAGAGATTATTTGCTTGCTTAATGACTAAATTCCTCCCACTTTAATTTATGCGTAAAGTCAAAATTGCCAGCACAAGAAATCGATGCGCAACAACAATTTATTGAAAGCGAAGATGATGAGGTATTTTTGAAGTTTGTCAAATAATGCAGCTAATTCATTAAGAATGCATATTTAAAATTTTGATTGTTTATTTTAAAATACATCTAAAAGCCGATAGAAAATTAATAGATAAAGGGGTTATTGGAATATTCATGAAACTTGCACACAAGCTCGTGTTTAGCACCTCCCAAATGCTATTGCGCCTAATTAATTAATTTTTTATATTACTTTTCGTAATAATTCTCTCTTCCTTACAAAATATGCTAACGAATCTTGAAACAGTCATAAATTATTTCATACTTTAAGCTGCCAAAACAGGTGTTAGTGGTTGAATGTTGGTTAAGCACACAAAATGTACTCGATCGCTTTTTATCTGTATATTCCCGTAGATGATAGACTGATTATTTTACTCTAAGAGTGTAGATTGATGGATTCCGATAATAGACATATACATTATGGTAGAAATAGTGAGAATTTCTTATAGAAATCATTAGCTGTTTGCGTTCACGATTCTCGTGCAATAGCACTATCAAAACAAGTTGTCAATTATAATACATAACACCCACTATGACGCTATATTATAAGAAGGATAAAATAGCAAAGCAGCCTATTACAACTGCATTACCATGATAGAAACAGAGTTTACTGTGAGATATGACACGGATACACTTTTAATTAAATTATTTGCTGTTATTCTCGAAATGTTAACGTGAAGTGAGCATTATTTGTCGTTAACCAGACCTTGAATTAAGAGGAGTACGTATTATTAACTCATGATACAACGTTTTCTAAGTTTTTGCCGTGTTAAACGTGTTTTATTCCCATGCTATTTTACGCGTATAACTCCGTTACGAGTAGAATTAATTTACTAAAGAGTACTATTAGCTTACATGATTTCCGCACAATCTATCCTAGCTATCTTATATATAATTATTAATCGAAAACCTATGTAGAAAATGGCCTTTCCAATTTGGAAAAAATTGTGCCGTGTATGCAAATAACAAATATACTCATGTTTGCACTGACGGCTTCATTATTATCCATAAAATCAGTAAACGTAGTTGCCATGACTTCATCTCTAAGGCGTAGGACCAGCCTACACGATGGTGTGCAATTAAATGCAAGACTGATGAAGATTGATATATATAACATATATACTAACATACAAGTGTTTTGCACCGATTATAGTATAGAGAATAGATAAGTCTTTGACCGCTTTGTTATCTGTTCACCTTTAGAAATGACTAGCGATCATTTAAAGAATAACCGATATCGAGCACTATTAGACTCTAGTTACAACTATCAGCAGGTCTCATAGTAGAAATGTTAAGAATTTCCATTTTTAATGCATTACATTGTAGCAGACAGTAGGATCCTACCAATCTAAAGCCGATGAAATCATTAATAACTATCTGGCAGAACAATCCAATACAGCAGATAAAGTGACCAAAGTATCTTATCATCTAGAAGGCGAAACTAAGCCATCCACTTTTCTGATCCACAAAAGGTGATCTGCATAGCTAATCTTTGGTTCCATCCTACCATTAGGCGATATTTTACTTCATCTTATAAAAATAATGTTAAGCTACGACGTTGAGAATAGAAATTATACAGCTTGAGGCTATGTTTCATGTTACAATTAGCGTTTTTTAACAGCAATTTTTGACTATCTGTAGACTTGGACAAATCACATTCGGAGATTTTAAAAAGATTTTAAATTTCACCGGCTACTATCACTATTACTTTAAAGAACTAGATCCTGAATTTGGAACTGTCAAGAAAGAGGTAAATTTAATGGTATAATTTTCAACTGTAAATTAAAGTCGTTGATTTTACAAAAAATTGGTATTCAAAAAATGTCCATGCTAACCTATATCTACGTATCTGACCGTAGTTGTTCGATGATGATGATATTTTACCTGGTTGGGAAGGAAATATAATGGCGTGGATTGAAGAAGGAGTCACTGTTTAATGTAATCATATGAAACTATCAATAACTCCTCTCTAATATGTATAACAATTTGCGACACTATATAATTTAATTTGGCACGTTTTTATTTTTATCGATAAATCAGTAACTTCATTTTATATGACAAATCAGCTATTCTTGTTTAATATAGCCCACTCTTATTCACTAATAACACGTTTTTTACATGAAATATCATAAATTTGCTACCGATACTAATAGAAATTGAATAGTAAAATGTTTCGAAATCTATTATTTCTATCAATTCATAACTCTTGATTTAAAAAAATAGTGCACACACTATTTATAGTTTGATATTAGATAGAATTAATTATTGACTTCCCCTTTAAAGATAGTAAAAATTAATTGATAAGGCATTCTATATGTACCTAAGATGAGCTATTCTATACTCTAAAATAATTTCGATTCCACCGTGAGATTATAAACTACACATTCACTTGTTATAATAATTAATTCCTTAACTATTTTTATATAGTGATTGTAGATACTTTTTTCAAGAATTGACATTAAGAATATTATGAAAATCAATATGCTACCATTATATATTATTCGCAAGTTTTAACTTACCATTTTTTTCCCCGCTCGAATAAGAAATGATAGAAAGGATATTATGTGTCTCTCTTCATCGATATCTACAATGTTATTATTTAGCGTCTATAAGAATATCACCTATCTATTCACAGGCTTGTAACCTATATCATCTTGTAAACAGTCCATGATTGAACTCTTTTGGTCGTAGCATTAATATTATTAATAATTTGTCATAATTCTGTATCCCAGAATTCTTATTCACAGGCGATGCAAGTTTTTTTTAACAAAGTTCAATCATTCCGATGACTTTCTTTTATTTTATAACGATCAAATTTCAGTTGCACTGCTAACTTCAACTTTAGAATAATAATTTAGTAAGTTAGCCATGTTTTGAATTTCCTTATACTTTAATGAATTAATTAATTAATGTATAAATTATTATCAATTATTTTAATCATCGATATAGCAAAACACCAGGAATGATATTTTCTGTAATGAAATAATATCTATTAACTATTCTGCTATACCAAATAAATATATCATAAATCATTCGTTGTGCTATTGCTAATTTCTTATTCGAATCGTTAAGGACACATCTACAAGCATGAAACAAAAATCACTTGTTTCATTAGATCAAATTTGTACATTAATTTCTTTAGCTATTCTTGTATAAAACACTATCGTGATTATTTTATGTTACTTTTAGTCTAAACATAATTAAGTCCTACCATATCTCATCTATAAAAAGGGTTCATAATGTCTATTTCATATCATAATAAATATACAAAAGCCATATGCTGTAGAAGTAAATTATACTGAAGAAAAGACGTAAACCATCTTGAATATCGTACTTAATATTGCATAGATACAAGCATAACTACTAAAGTAATAAAAGGAATTATATAGCATATGGCTTTAGGATCAATCCATATTATCGTAATCGTATTTATCAAGAGTAAAAAGTTTATCTAAAAGTATTACCCATAAATAAGCATAAAAGAAAATTTACTACTAAACTATAACACTCGCAACTGAGTTTTACTTACTAGCTACAGAGTGTGACTTAAGCGCTATAGTATACTTTAGATGCAATGAATCATTAGCTTATTCATCAGCTAATTGAACCGTGGTTCAATACTCGGCTATCAACAATTATAGCTACGAAAAAATGCAGCTGAAGGATTAACAAGGATTAATAAGTTACCTACTGCAACTTAATCCAAATGTAACCAACGCTATAGCATAGCTACTTCTTAAAAACGAATCTGTTTGCTTTACTAATACTAAATTACTAGAGAAAAGTAGCTATTTTAATGCTATAGCACGTCATATAAAATGAAGACGTGCCTATAATAATACGTGAATAGCATAGTGTGGCTGTAATTAGACGCAAACTAATTGCTTCATTTATGGTTTACATCCTATGGCAACAAAGTAAACATCCCTGATATGAAATATTATGGGAAATTAACGAAACAATATCTAATGTCAACTATATGGCCAACATAAAACAGTTTTCATGACTTAATTTTTATTGGATAGCGGCATTACAAATGCTCTAGATCGAGCTATTATCAGAATAGCCATATACAACAATTGGACAGCTTCATACAGCTAAATGTACAGGACAGGCTCTATATCCGCTCAAATTAAGAGAATGTACACGCAATTTTTATCGAATAAGAATTTAAAACTTGCAAAAAGCCCCATTGTAAACTTTTGAACAGTATTACAGTTAAAAATAGCGTATACTTTATGATCTCAATAACATTCACTCAGCACGTGTTTTAGATCTAGATGTTGAAATAAGGCAAATAATAATCGAAATTGATTGACGCAAACGCAAAAAAATCAATGTGCTAGCTAATTTTAATGTTTATACGCCACTATACACTCATAAATGATCGTATTTGCAATTATTAGACAATAAAAATAGGAAGAATACGAAATAATAAAATCAATAATTTGATTGATAGCTTACATTAGTGTTGACATTGTCAGTTTTTCACTCTAGATTGCTATTAATTACCATCAGTTAGTTCATAAAAGTGGAAGATGTTTGAGAAAATTAACCATTTAGTCAGCTATTATTCAACCGATTCCATAATTACTTTTAACTTAGTAATTCCATTCTGCAAAATTTTTTTCTTCTTTAAACCTCAAAACCTCTTAATCATCATCAACATTTTGCTAGGTTACAACCTTATAACCTTCTAGTCTACCAGGTAATGCGTATTCCAATCTAATCCTAAGACGATTTTAATAAAATTTCCTTCTGTCACGGTGTAACTACTAAACTATCAAAAAAACTCAATGTAGAATTAGCTATCTTATAAATTAATCATTCATGCCCAATAATATCCACTGCGTAGAGTATTTATTATGGCAGAGCTGCAGCCGGGATAAGTAAATCATTGCTATGATTTATAGTAATTATATATAGAGAAATTCTTAAATTACTGTTAGAAATTTGATTTAACGTTAACTAGTCTATGTTGTATTATTCGACTAATAACGTAATTAAGAATTATTATATAATTATTTATCATCTTCATAGTTATATCTATATAGATGATATAGTCTTATAATATGCAATTAATTTACTCTAGCATTTACGATCTATATTTGCATGTATTAAATTGCTGGACGGAGAACGTAATTAAGAAATAACACAATAAGTTTTAAATTTGTTCATCTACTTTAAAAAATTTTCCTATCTTTACTTATTATCTCGACAGCCATAGGTATATTGGAGCTTTAATATTAAAACGGCAAATGAGTAATTTGCTCCACCATTTATGAACCACGCTGTATTCCTAAGTAGTCGCCTAAAATACTCCTAAAATACTCAATCTTACTACAATATGTACCTACTAACTCAAGTCATAATTAGATAATAATCACCATTTATAAAGCATACTGTATTCCTAAGTAATCGCCTAAAATATTCCTAAAATACTCAATCTTACTATAATATCTACCTCTAATTCAAGTCATAATTAGATAATAATCACTTAACTGTTAACCAAGCTAAAACCCCCTTTAATGTTTCTTTCCATACACCTTTCAAGATCGTTAAGATAAAAAAATAGTGATCATCGCATTTACTAAGCTATATTCTAATATTTGAATTATTTAGATGATTGCTAGACTTTCTTTTTAATTCTGAAGCTATAGGATCAATTTGATCGTAACTGAATTAATCCAAGACATTTTTGACTTTCGTTCAACACGTATATACTGGGTATAAAAATTACCCTTGATGTTTATCTTAATTATTATCATTTGAATTTAAATTATAGAAGTATATGCGTATATGAATTTATTTTTAAGATCTATGCATTCCAATTCTGAACGATTTAGAAAAATAACAGTATCCAGTCAGGTTTAGCTAAACTTCGCTAGTTCAGATCCAAAGCCTCAGAATCAGGTAAGTCCATTTTATCATATATTATCACATATAACAAAAGCGAGATTATAAATGTTACGTTATCGAAACTTAAATCATATATCATTAACATTGTCAATATTCATCTACATCTTATAGTGATGATTAGTAAGGTTGCTATCCTATCCAGGCTTTATAAATCAATTTATACTCCATCCTTATGATACTTTTAGAGTATATTTTTAAAATAAAACTAATTTATATGGCCGTAAACAGCTATTTTTCGTTATAGAACAATTAATTCTTATTTCCTATAACTACAAGATAACCAGGGATAATAATTTATATAAGCTAGCGGCATAAGCTAACAAAATTTGCAAATATCATGCATACTGATCTGAATATGTCGAGTTACTACAAAGAGTTCGTGGATGTTAATAGCAACTTGACAGAATTTTCAAAGGTTTCTCTAGAGATTTTGAGCAATGATGATTATCATTTCCATTTAAAATTCCATAAAAATAATAATTCATTTTTTCATGACATCATTAACTGTAAGCTATTAAGAGTTTAGCTCATTCGTTCTAAAGTAGGGAGAGAAAATAATTATCAATACCATATAGTATCTATAGGTCAAAAATGAATATTCGGCATTAGTTTCGGATAGAAATTGATCAAGTCTATCGCCTTTGGAAATACTCCCTTTCCATTAACAAAGATCTTTAATATACCATTGATAGATATTTGCCCGCTATGCATTCCAACTTACAAAGGCTTATAACACAATCTAATTAACAAGGTTACAGTAGCTATAAAAGTATTAGCTAAACAAAATGACAGAGGAATACTATCCGTATAAATTATATTGAAAGTTGGCTCTCATCCAGGACAAATATTAATTTCAGTCTGGGACGGAGTAAAATTGGTCTCAATATCAGAATGTAAACAACGTTTACCAATCACGCTAATCAATTTTATCAGCACCCCAATGTTCCTATTATATATAATTAGGAGTAATAATCTAAGTCATCGTGATAGAATATGTCTGATTAGAAGATAGACGTGA